GTGCGAAGACACCAGAGCTGATTTGGCCCTAGAGCTGCCTCGATGTTGCGCCGCCGTTTGCCCCGATACTATTGGTCAATTTCATACCCAAAGCTGTGGGGCTGCATTTTGACTCGCGGCTTCGCCCGATTTCCCCTGCAGTTTCATGATCCTGTTTTTTTAGGATCACGAAACTGTGGAGGAAATTGGCTTTGGGTGTGAAATTGACCAATAGTATTGGGACAAATGGCGGCGCAACATCGAGGCAGCTCTAGTGCGAAATCAGCCCAGATCTATTCCTAAACTATTTTTAAAGCAAAGGTTTGAGTGTCTATGGAAGTCAAACATCCACCAGATTTAGCCGTTCAGGAGTTTATCCTTATGAACAGAGCCAGGTGGAGTAAAATGGAGTTCTCCAGGAGGGAACTTTTTTATAAATAAAGGGGATCTGGAAGAAGAGGAGGAGGAGGAGGAGGAGATTGGATCTATACCCTGCCCTTTACTCAGAATCTCAGAGCGGCTTACAAACTCCTTTCCCTTCCCCTCCCCACAACAGACCCCCTCTGAGGTAGGTGGGGCTGAGAGAGCGGAGAACTGCCCTTGAGAGAACAGCTGTACCAGAACTGTGGCTTGCTCAAGGTCATCCAGCAGCTGCAAGCAGAGGAGTGGGGAATCAAACCCGGTTCTCCCAGATTAGAGTCTGCACACTTAACCACGACACCAAACTGGCTCTCTTGTAGTTTGTCTACCAAAAAAAACCCCAAGCAGTTTGTCTCCCTGCCCCCTCAAATTTCCTTTTTTATCGGATGTACTATACTCTTTTATTTCATAATTGTGTGATCCAGTTTCATTCCACGGTTTGTTTGTTTGTATTATGTCGGTCTTTACCGCATTGTTTTCTAATTCCATCAATCCCCTTGAGTCACAGCAAGAAAGGACGTAATTGAGACTGATCATTCAAAGCCCAGGGATGTGTTTGGGAAAGAAGGGAGGAAAGCTGGAAGTGAAGAAAGAAAAATAAGAGCGGCTGCCATTAAATCCGAGACGATGAAGACAAATGCTCCTTGACTGAAAGCTCGTTTGCTCTTATAAGCAGGGGGAAGTCTCCAGTCTCTTGAGAAAATGTCCTAGGTGTCTTCCTGTAGGTCTCCCTTATAAATAGGACTCGATAAGTCAGCCGGCAACGTACGAAATTAGATGATAGGAAGAGCTTGTTAGCTTTCAGATAGCTCTGGAATGAGAAGAATAAGAACAGATGGGGGAATCTTGAACTAGTGAACGAGAGACTTGGTGGCAAAACCAGGGTGGGCTTATCCATATACGTCTGCTCTTATTTTTAAACTCCCGCCCCCGCCCTTTGCTGGATCAACACTTTCTTCTTGCAAAGGAAGGAAATGGGGGGAGGAGGGAGGCGGGGACACATCGTGGAGGAAAGCAGGGGGGGAGAAGCAGGGTGGATTGAAAGTGGTGATCATTTCCCAACCCCTGAAAACCGAAATTCCATCTGGAAACTCAATCCCCTCCCTGAGGACGCCCAGGCATGGGAAACCAGATTTATAACTTCAGCAGAACTGGACTTCTCTCAAGAAAAAGCGGCCTGTCAACGATTTTGCGTTGAATTACACTGGAAGCCCCCCTGCCGGCTTTGTCATATCCCACCCACCTCCTTATCCATTACAAAAATGCACAAGGGGGGGCTTTTTTAAAAAAGGGCACTGAAGTCCCCTTGAATGACGATGCTCCGGGCCCCTGATATTCCATTTATAGCCTGGCTGAGATGACATACCCCCTCCGCCGGCAAACTGTCCAATCCAACCGCAAGTGTCAAGATTGTATTAGGCACTAAGTGAAATATATATATGCCCTTATGGTGTTTAAGACACTGGGTCCACCTCCAAGGCACCGGTCTCCCTGAGCGCTCCCTGCTCCTCATCCGGGAATCTCTGGTCAAGGGTTTGTTTTTTTTGTAAGGGTTTAAACTTTTAGTGTTTAACATGGCACCAAAGAAGGAAGCTAAGAAAGCTGCACCTGCCGCCGCCGCTGCACCTGCACCTGCACCGGCCCCAGAAGCACCAGCAAAACCCAAAGACCCACCCATCGATCTGTCCAGCATCAAGGTAAAGGGATGAACTTGTGCAGTCACCGAAAAACCCTCCCTCAAGCTGGGAAACACAGCGAAGCTTCGGCATTCGAGTGTGCGGGAACGCTTTCGGCTGAGCTTGTTCCCGGCTTGAGGACACTCCTGAAAACTGGGCTAGAAAATAATTGGCAGGAATCTCTGGAAATGCAGAACGCTTCCAGTTCTGACAGGCACAGTGTGGCACAGCTGAGCCCGTCCACTGTACAAAGTTTCTATTTTTAAAAAAAATCTGGTGTCTAATTTTAATCTGGCCTGGATTATTGTCCTCTCAATTAAGTCTGTGTGTGATCAGATTTTGGAATGAATCGAACGTGATACTTTTTTTAAAAAAAGAAGAAGAATGAACCTGGATCTCTTTTTAAAGCAAAGATCAATTTGCAAATTTCGTTCTGGATTTTACGATAGGTAAACTGCAAATTACCCAGTCATTTTGGATAGATCGCTTTGCCTATTGTCTAAACCAGAGGAAAATAGCAATGCCTTGTATCCTCTCCTGTGCTCTAAAACTAGAGGGTGACTCCTAGATTAGAAGAGAAAAGCAGAGAGGTGTTTCAGTGACTGCAACCTTTCATCTTTGGTGGCTTGTGGCTTGCAAGTTGTTGGGAAAGTGGAGCTTCCTGATTAATAAGAAAGAGCTTTGGAGTGTTTTCCCTTTTGACTTTCCAAAAGTAACCCATGCTGTGCATGGTGTTCAAGGATGGTTGAGCATTTTGCTTTCAGTGCAGTCTGAAAAGAAGAGATCTGTCTGTGGTCCAGGGGGGAAGGAAAGACCCAGTCAGAGAGATTCCCCAAGCAGTCCATCTCTAACTACAGATCATTCCCTGGCAGTTTGATTGATCAGAGTACTAACTTAGGCCTCTACCTAAGAAATCCAACCTAATACGGAGAGCCAAACAGTGGGAAATATTGCAAGGGAGGCAAGAATTCTAATCGCCCCTTAACTGCATCACAAGAGCCTGCTAATGAATTCTTCTCCGTTTAATTGGGCGTGTGCAGTTGGGAGCCATCCTGCCAACACAAGCTGAGCTTCACTAAAAGACTGTGTGATAGATTTTTATTTGTAAAACAAGGCATGGAGGGGTAGGGCAGAGTGAAATCTAATTGGGGGTTAGGTTCGGGGCCCTCCAAACAACAGCAGCATCAGTGTGGAGAGTGAAAAGGGGAAGTTTTTAAAAAGAAAAAAGAAAGAAAGAAAAATGCTCAGAAACGAAAGCAGATAAGACTACACCCCAAGGAGGTTTTCTCTGACAGCATCATGTGGTCGAGTAATTAGATTAGATGCGGCGCTTCAGGAAGAAGGCAAGTTGGATTTCCTGCTAAAGCAATTTACATTCATTAGACGGCTGCGTGGATTGGATTCATTAGGAGAAAATAGAATTTTCAACTCTAGTGCCTCAAATTAATTTATCTTTACATAAATAGACTAAGTGGGATATACATCATCGGGAAAACGAAATGCTGTGATTTCAACCACCACAGCAACCCTGTATGACCCTCTTTAGACTTTCGTATCCAAAACTGGCTTGCTAAGGGTTTAGGAAGAGCTACTGTGGTACCCTAATCTGTATTCAGTTCACTCGAACGGGGGGGGGGGAATATTTTTAATTTGGCTGGGATATGCAAGGAGAAACTCACTGAATTATTCAAACGAATTTTTGTGATACGTTGCATTGCCGAACAATACCTAGCATTTGAATAGATTCGTGTGGGTAGCCGTGTTTGTCTTTAGCAACAGAACAACATTTGAGTCCAGTGGCACCTTTAAGACCAACAAAGTTTAATTCTGGGCATCAGTGTATCTGAAGAACTGTGCATCCACATGAAAGCATATACCCAGAATTAAATTTTGTTGGTCTTCAAGGTGCCCACTGGACTCAGACTTTGTTCTAAAATTTATATAGCGTTTTAGGAGTGTTCCTAGTGCTTCACTGGCACTCTCTCACAAAACAGAACAAAAATCTAGAGGCACCTTGAAGACTAGCAATATTTATTTCAATATGAGTTTCCATGGGCCGCGGCCCACTTTGTCAGATAAGTAGGGCGAAGTTGGCTGAGATGCACAAAAGCTCATATTGAAATAAATGCTGTTAGTCTTTAGGGTGCCGGTAGAGTTTTGATCTATTTCAGTATGCCGCACTCTGATGCCCCTTTTAAGGGTGCAGTCCTATGCACGCTTACTCGAGAGTAGGCCTATTGAATAAAGTGGTATTTAGCGCTGAGTAAGTGCACATGGGGACTGCACAATGAAACATGAGAGAAGCGGTCTTCAGTAAAATAAAGTTAAAGATCTGCCATTGCATTACTGATGGTCGTTCTGCTCAACCCTAGAGCCCAAACTGCTAACTCCTACCTTCTTCGCCCCCTACAACATTCCTCGGAGTTTCTTCCACTCTGTCCTTACTTATATGGCCCTGTTCTCTCACGTCTGAGACTGCTTTACCTCACAATACCCCAGTGAGGTAGACGGGTATTCTTATCCTCCTTATAAGTGAGGCTCCGTTTGGCCAAGGTCACCTACAGGGATGGTTGCCATTCTAAGGATTAATCTGGAGAATCCAGAATTCAGGTCCAAGATCCCCGTCAATGAATAAAATGCCAAGCACTGGAGCCATTCGCATTTCTGAGAACACTCTTGTAAGTAAGATGCTCGGCTTAGACTCTAAATATGTTATGGAGACTGTTCCATGGGTGCCAGAAGGTGCTGACTTAGGGGCTCCTGAAATACCCCCAAGTGAGCAGTAGAAATGAGCAAGAGCCCAGTAGCGCCTTCAAGACTCACAAAATTTGTGGCAGGGGAAGAGCTTTCAGGAATCACAGCTCACTTCAGATACCTGAAGAAGTGAGCAGTGACTGCTCTGATATCTGAAGAGGTGAGCATTAACTCACTAAAAGCTCCTCCCCTGCCACAAATGTTGTGAGTCTTGCAGGTGGACTCTTGCTCGTTTCTACTGCTACAGATAGACTAACACAGCTACCTATCTTGATCTATCCCCAAGTGAGCGAATAAATGTTGTGCCTCTCACTGTTTTCAGCTCAGTAATAGGATCTTTATTCAGCAGGGCTGGGGAACACCTTTACACGAGAAACCAGGGAACAGAGGTGGTAAAAATGAAGCTTGGGGAGTTTTGACTCCTCTCGATAGCTTATAAGAACATAAGAACATAAGAGAAGCCAATGTTGGATCAGGCCAAAGGCCCATCCAGTCCAACACTCTGTATCACACAGTGGCCAGAAATACCAGTGCCATCAGGAGGTCCACCAGTGGGACCTCCCCAAATCTTCTGGTGACTACTGTTGGTACCAGGGTTCCCTCTAAGCTGAGTTAGTGTGAGCCAGCTCACAGTTTTTTAGTCTCTGGCTCACACATTTTTGTCTTAGCTCAGGGAGGATGGCTCCACAGCAAGCTAATCTATGCAGCAGCCAAATCACTTGCTCATGACTTTGATGCCGGTAGCTCACAAAGTAGAATTTTTGCTCACAGGACTCCATAGCTTAGAGGGAACATTGGTTGGTACTGGATTCAAATCTAATATGTAAAAACTGTGTCCCATCTTACCATGGTCCACGGGTTTCCTTTGGATGGACTTTCCAAACTCACGTTCAGAGGAAGTTCTGAGAAATAGATATCTCCTCTCATGCTGGAAGCCGCCATTTGTGAGCCCGTGATCCTGAAATACGCCAGATTGTCACAGAGAAAATTATTTTTCTCTGCCAGGGTTGCTGGTGAGGCAAACGGGACAGGTGGTCAGAGAGAGCTCGGCCTGTTTCTGAGAGATGAATGGCTGTGCCTGGGGGGTGAGGCCACAGTCAGGTGGCCCACGAGAGCAGGTGGGACCCTGCTGTCCCCCCTTGCGTCAACGAATCTCTTGGGGCCTGGCATCCTGCCCCTCAGTCACGCTAGGATCGAAGCACACAGCAAAACAGCCGGGAGCCCCTTCATCCATCAAGCTGTCAAGTGGCACAGTGGTGAAGTGCCAGGACCCCCCCCTCCCGGGCAGAGTCCTCGATCGGAGAGCCCTGGCACCTTACGGGATTCCTGCCAGTGAGGGAGACTTTATCTTGCCCTTTCTAAGCACCCAGGTCCTCTCCCTTGCTCAGTGGCAAATGGGCTGGACCCCAAACCTTCCTAAATGCCTGTGCAACTTCTGCTCATAAAGAGCTGAGCATGAAGAAAGGGGAGGGAGAGAGCTCAATGATACAGGGCAAAGGTCCCCAGCCTTTTTCGTCCCGTGGGCAGCCTTGGAATTCTGACCCAGGGCAAAGCCACAAAATGGCTGCTGTGGGAAGTGAAGCCAGCCACAAAATGGCTACCTCGGGAGGTGAAGCCACACGTACAGGAAGCTGTTCAGCAGTTCAGCAGTTCAGCAGTTCAGCAGTTCGAGACCCGAGTGTGCCACATGATGGAGTGAGCTCCCGTCTCTAGTTCCAGCTCCTGCCAACCTAGCAGTTCGAAAGCAAGAAATTGCAAGTAGATAAATAGGGACCACTTCGGTGGGAAAGTAACAGCGTTCCCTGCGCCTTGGTGTTTAGTCATGCCGGCCACATGACCACGGAAACGTCTTCGGACAGCACTGGCTCTTCGGCTTTGAAACGGAGATGAGCACTGCAACCCTAGAGTCGGATGCGACTGGCTTTCGAGCAAGGGAACCTTTACCTTTTTATACACACACACATACACACGGGGCGGGGGGGGAACAGGCTGGGTAAGAAACAAGCAATAGAACTTACAAGCAGTTGGAAAAGACAGATAAGAGGTCCAAGATACTAATGGACAGGATTAATAACTGTGCCTTCAGAACAGAAATCCTGCTTTTTAAACGGTGACTCCTTATTTTGTTAAGCCACAACCACATATCAGCCAACCTTGAAACTCCAGATACCCAGCATGTCCTTTGGTTATTTATCAGTTTTGATCTACCTGAGGTTGAGTATGTGGACAGGTGAGAAACGATAACCGCCCATTCAGCCCCGTTGCCT